GTCCTCTCGTCTCCACCAGCCCAGTCGTCTGGTTTGGATTTGTTTCAGGTTCAGTTCTTCCTTTTCTCCCATTCTGTCAGGATCCATCATTTGTGGTCCTGGTTAGATGGTCAGTAGTGGTAGTTGGGCACCATCTAGTTCTGCAGGTCTCAGGGGAGATGAGTCTGTGGCTTGAGTTTATGCTTATTCATGTCCCTTTAAGTGCCTATTATTAGTTTATACCTTTTAACTGATTGAATCTCTGTCTCCTCCCCATTCTGCTTCCCCAGAAAGCACTTTAAAGACGAGAACCAGGTTAGTCTTGTGCTCTTTTTCATTACCGATGCTCAGCACCAGACTGGCTTGTCGGCTAAAAAAATTGGTTGAATAAATGAATGCATGGAAGGAAATATTTCTATGACCTTACCCACTTACCTGACTATGTTCCTTATCTCTCTGAGTATATTCTCCTTATTATGCCTAACGTTCTTCTTGGAGACCTCCAGCAGCCGCAACACCACGTCCTGAGTGTAGCTGTCGGCCAGTTTGATTGTTCCGTAACTGTCGATCCACTTCTGGATGTCATCTAAAGTACCATCCGTCAGACCAACAGAGAAAACGTAAATGAGTGTGGACAATTCCCTCAACCAACGTTGTTCACTTCAACTAGGAGAAGGCAAACTATAGCTGTGGGTCTAATCCAACCCAACACTTGTTTTTGTAAATAGAGTTTTACTGGCACACAGCCACAGCTGTCTGCATGATCTGTGGCTACGTTTGCACTACATGCACAGAACTGATTCAGACCATCCACTTTGGAAGTTGGGCCTTCCTGGAGACTTTTTACCTAAGACTGGAAGATATGAGGGATGATGCCAGGTTCAAGGGGTCAGGTATTCAGGCACTACAAGAATATTTCATAAAGAGGAAGTAACATGCAGAAGTATGCCGGGTTGAGAGAGAACATGACAGGAGGCCAAAGAATGGACAGGATGGTGCCTTCTTTCCATCCCTTCTTTATGACTAACAATGACCTGGGTGAGCCCCATCCACTCCATCTTTGCTTCATCCTGTCCACCCCCCACCCCACCCCGGACCTACCTCCACAGACTTCTGTGTTGAACAAAGGAAAATGCATCACAACAGGTCCAGTTTCCCCTTTAAATATGTAGCAATCAGAGGGGGCTTTGGACCACGCCTGCAGATCCTTCTCTTCCACTGGAGGGAAAGGGATGGCACCGTGGTGGCAGTAGTCAGCAGTAGCCCTGATGGTCTAAAGAAGAGGCAACAGGCACCCGTCTTAGCAGTCAGCTAAAAGACCTCAGGAGCCTGGTGCCCAGAAGAATCTCAGCAAAGACCCAAGATGCAGAGAATAGCAAGGATACGCTTGGAGAGGAACAGAATCTTCTGGAAGCGGTAAAAGATCCCACTTCTGCCACCAACCCCTCAGTCATCTCTGACCTCCCAGAGGGGATAAAAGCACAATGTCCACAAGATTTGAGAGTAACCTTAGGAACTGGGGAGACACAGAGGACAATAAAAAGGGGAGGCAGATGGGTTCCGTGAACCTTAGCTCTATCAGTAACAGCCATCTGGAGTCACCCCATCACATCACGCCAGTCAAAGGGGTCCCAGTATATCTACTTCATGGGGAGGTTTTGGGGAGAACTTAAATATTCCACACCACGTCCCCAGGTGGTGCCAAAGGATGAACTGCTCAGCTACCAAGGCTCCGTCGCTAACCAAAAGGTTAGAGGTCTAGTGTTCACTTAGTGCACCAGTTCTCAACCTGTGGGTCACGACCCCTTGGGGGGGGGTGTCCAACAACCCTTTCACAGGGGTCGCCTGATTCATCACAGTAGCAAAATGACAGTAATGAAGTAGCAAGGAAAATAACCTTATGGTTGGGGGGTGGTCATCACACGAGGAACTGTATGAAGGGGTCGTGGCATGAGGAAGGTTGAGAACCACTGACTTAGTGGCCCCTCCAATGAAAGATCTGGTGATCTACTCGTGAAAAAGGCAGCCACCGAGGGAGCACTGTTCCACTCTGATACACAGACTTCGTTTGACCGTACACTAGACCAGACACTAGCCAGGTAGGAAGCCCCCACCCTCCCCACCCCACCTGAGAGGTGCACACCTGAGGGAGAAGATTCACAGGTAGAGAGTAAAACTGAAATACACCCAACAGACAGGGATGGTAGACGGGGGCCCAGCTGCTGATGAGATAGATGTTCTGTGAGGACGCGGGGTCCAAGGAGTCCTCCAGCTGGTTGTGGGAGACCAGCAGCTTGCTGATGTGGCCAGAGTCCTCAGAGTGGCTCCACTCCATCTGAAGGGCTGCATTCACTTGACCACCCTGACTCCCAGTCAGCATGCTTCCCCGCACCCCACCCCACCCCGCCCAGGGCTACTCCCAATACTCTCTGGGTTACCTCAAAAGGATCCCCAGCGCTGAAGTCAAAGGAGAGGATGAGATCAGCCTTTCGAGTTGGAGGTAGAACAAGCGGGTAGGAGGCGTTGATGGCAAGGCCAGCGTCCACCAAGTGCAGGAATTCCTCCTGCCCACTCATGGCCTCGTCTCTGACGTCACCTGCAGAACCCGGAAGGGAGTGTGTTGGCCCCGCCTCCTCAGACCGGAAGTGAAACTTGTAAGTGGCGCCCCCTTGCGGGTCAGAGCCGAGCTGCACCCACAGGATTGTCGGTGGCCGATTCTTCCAGAGGGGCCTTTTGTGTTAGTCTGGGTTGACCAGAGAAACAGATCCAGGGCACTCATATATATGTAAGAGAGAATTTTAAAGAAGGAGCGATTGTATATTAAGAAAACAGAGCCACGTGGAGACCCACGCCAGCGTGGAGATGCTTCCATCGCCACTGGAGCCACAAGACTTCCCACCCACTTGGCCTGTGCTCTTCCTGCATTTGGCATCATTGCATGTGTTGTGTGAGTCTGAAGAGGAATTTACAGACTGGTATTGGACATATGGACTAATATCGGACTGACAGACCTGACGTGGACTGAGCTTGGATGTTTTCTTAATATACAGTTACCCTTGATATAAAGCTCTTTGTTATACACGTGTGAGGGTCTCTGGATTTGTTTCTCTAGTCTACCAGGACTAACAGACCTTTCTTCCAAAGTAGACCCCCAGCCTTTCCTTCTGAAGAGCCTCTGGCAGCACGGGTAGTGGGATGGGAGCTTGAACCATCAACCGGTGCCTTGACCATCTGCACCACCTCAAGGACTCCTTGTAAATATTATGAAGGGGGAAAATGATAATTCTCACGGTTGGTGAGGGTGGTGTCAAATGGCTTCCCTCATGTTTTGCTGCTGGGAGAGCAAATGCATCCAGCCCCTCTGGGGAGAGATTTGAAGATGAAACTGCCATTCATTCCCCTGACCTGGTGATCCCATATCTGGCAGTGCATTCTAAGGCGAGAGTATTGATACAGTGCTAAAGGTTGGTGGTTTGAATTCAACCCCCCGTCCTCCCCCCAAAAAGAAAAAGACAAAACTAAACCAAACTCACTGCCGTGGAGTCAATGCTGACTCCCAGAGACCTTTGTAGGACAGGGTTAAAACGAATCCCTCTGAGTTTCTGAGACTATAACTGTTTGTAGAAGTTTTAGAAAGCCTCGTCTTTCTCCACGTAGCCACTACTCCACCAGAGCTCCTGTGAGTTCACCCCAGAGGTGGTGTCAAACCCTCTAACACACACACACACACACACACACACGTACACACACACAGGGCTGCCAATCTAACACACACACCGGGCTGCCATTAGTCAGAACCGAACCCACAGCAGCTAACAACAACAACAACAAATCTCACTGCTCAAGATATCAAATTGATTCTGACTCACAGAGACTCTACAGGGCAGAGTAGAACTGCCCCACTGGGTGTTCAAAACTGTCACTTTAAAAAAACAGTTTTAGCGGGGGCTCTTACAGCTCTTATCACAATCCATCCATCCATTGTATCAAGCGCATGTGTACATATTTTGCCATTATCATTTTCAAAACAGTTTCTTTCTACTTGAGCCCTTGGTATCCGCTCCTCTTTTTTCCTTCCCTCCCACCAAGGCTGTCATCTTTATGGAAGCAGGTGGCCTCTGCTTTCTCCCAGGGTGGCTAATGGGTTTGAACCATTGACCTTCCAGTCAGGAGCCCAATGTTTAATAGATTCCAACTCATATAAACATAACCTCTCTTAAATGTCAAATATTTGAAACGTTAAAAGTGAAGCCTTTAAAATTTGGTTTCCACCTCATGCCCATCTGTGAAACCAAACCAAACTCCCTGCCATCAAGTAGATTTCTATTCATGGAGACCCTGTAAGACTAGAACTTCCCCCATAGGTTTCCAAAGCTATAACTGTTTATAAGAGTAGAAAGCCTTCTTTCTCTCACCAAGCGGCTGCTGGTTTTGAACGGCCAACCTTGTGGTTAGCAGCCCAACTTGGAACCACTATGCTACCAGGGCTCCTCCCATTTGTAAACATAGCTTTTATATGCTCTGGGAAATAGGGGCGGTGGTGGGAAGCAGGCAACCCACTTTATTCTAAGGTGATGTCGGTGATTCCGGCAGAGAAACCCCTATGACAGGGATCCTCAAACTACAGCCCAC